CATCATCGAGGCCAACATGGATCCATCCCATCTTCCGTCAGGCGACGCGCTGCCAACTTTCGGCCATCCCCAACCACCCGGGCAGCGGGCATGGGAACGAGGGGAGGGTGCAGTGTTCAACCCAGCAGTTGCTCCCGTTCTAGAGGCTCGGCCCGGTAGTGATGGCCCAATGCAAGGATCCTGGCACCCCGTGCCGCCTTCTGCACCAGCTTTCAGTCCGAGTTCTTCGCCACAGTGGCGGCCGGTAGCAACACAAGGGCATTCTCACCCAGAGCCTCGGAGCTATCTACCTTCGCAACACCTCCAACCTGGAAGCTCGAGAGAGAATTTCTCACACCATTCGAGCCGTGCGCCAACAGACCCTATTCCAGCGCCCATGGTCCCCTTTCGTCCTCCCGGGGAGTCGCACAGACAATATCAGCCGGGGGACCAGCGCCGAGACCGGGTACAGCAGCCTGTCCTTCAACACGAGCCTTCCACTCGCCCGTCAGCGTCATTACCAGTTCAAGCATCTCTTGCTACCGCTTCAGCCTCCCGGGCAGAGAACAAGCCATCTTGGAGGTCGCGCATTACCGGTTCGGGTCGTAAACTCACCAGATCTCACTATGGACAGATCGAGGATTTCCTTCATCGACACCGTGTGGTAAGATCTGAAGACGACGATCCCCTCGACATGCTGCTCAACACTGCGGAAACCAGCTTTATCGAGCTCGCACACTCTGCGGCGTTCAATGACAAGCTACGCGGCAAGCTACGTGAAGCAGAGCGGAACTACGACCACTACAAAAAAGAATTCAAGGCTGCAGATCGAGAAGCGAGCGGCCTCAAAGAAGTTCTGAAAGAGAGGAACAGCCAACTGACGCAAGCTAACATAGCCATCGACAGACTCTCAGAGCAGGGCAAGAGGCGGGATGGGGAGCTCCGATCGGTGAACGACCAACTTTTGCTGACAGAAGGGGAGCTTCAAACTGCAAAAGAGGCCATCTCGGCGTGGGAGTCGGTGTGGGCTGAACAGCAATCGTACTACGACGACGCCATTGCGAAGCTGAACAGGGCGCTTGAGGAACAGAAGGCGAAGACTGCTGCTTTGCACAACTATTTGGCCAGCCAGACCAAAGAGCCAGCGGCGTATGAGGCAACATCCGATCAAGTTTTCAAGACGGCATTGCAGACGTTGTCACAAAATACCAACAACCTCGCTATCGCGATACATCAACCAAGGAACAGGGCTACTGTGCTGATACCGTTAGACCGGACCGGTTTCCTAAGACGAAACGTAAACGGAACCGGCTTCGCGGGAGAGAGGGAGTGGCGATGCTTTATTCGCTCTGTTTGCCTCGAAACCGTCTTTGAGGGGTTCTTTCACTGGCCGCTGGGCTTCGGCGTGTTCGGGAAAGAGGGTGAAAAACGCGGTTAGTCGCTGCACATTGACGCCCCCCCGTCGTAACGGAAGCTGACCAGCGTATTGTCATCCAGACTCACAAAGTTTCGAAAATTCCCTTGCTGGCGATGTCGGGGCAAGGGCGGATTTCTTCGGTCTGATGCTTCGAATGCTCGAGAACCCCACGGACACGCGCATTGGGGATGCCACCTTGGGCGGCGAGGCTCTGATGCGTAGCGTCAATGCGTTCAAGGCAAACTCGGACAGAGTGGAAGCTAATTTGGCACAGAAGCTGCAAGCATGCGGTGGGCGATCCCTCAACACCGCCGACAAGGCTCTCATTTCCACTATTGTACAAGACTCAGGACGGCTCGCGTTGCGGATGGGTGCACAACGAGCATCTGTCTTGTTGCAAAGACCGTCACACAGGGACTTGGTGATCCTCGGAGAGTATTTCAGCCATGATGCTGGGACCATTCAGGACGGAACTGCCGCTCAAGTTGACCTCGTCTTGGACGCCTGCATGGTGAGAATTGGGGATGGAAGGGATGACTTGACCACCATCAAGATCATTTCTAAGGGCTCTGTTACCGTCTTCGCATAGGACAATCGCTCAATATTTCACCGCACCTCTTCCAACTCATTGACAGCCACAGAACGCTTCAGTGGTTTTTCAGAAGGCTCTCGCTAGGTTTGGGGGCGATCCGCCTGACGAAGCCCCTTTCAGGGGATGTTGGCGCCAACCTGGGAAAGGGGGTGGCTTTAGCGAGCGCTTTGATGCAAGTTTTCGGAGCTACAGAAGCCACCCAGGCAAGCTGCGAATGTCCCTGACGTTCTCTGGTTCTCGTTGAATCACAGATGGACACGCCGCGCATGACCAGGATCGGCACCGCACCCGGCCACCATCCTCTCCTGCTTGCTCTCGGTCAAGCCAAATGGCCGCTTCATCCCACTCCTGTCGGTCGCCTAGTTTTCGCCCTCCAGTCAAACAGCCCCGCCAGTCGACCTGCATCGCTCGCGCAGATTTTCCATTTATCGCTGTGGCTGAAAAAGAACGCCTTGGGCTTCAACTATTTTCTTGGCACATGGTTGAGTCTCCCCCCGATTCAAAGGCCACTCCGCATTCCTCTCACAGCCTCGCGGCGCCAAGACCCCGTGGAAGAGACGGCAGGGAACGGTCTCCTGGAGCTCCACCCCAACAAAGCAAGCTTCCTTCTGTCAAATTCTTGACATCGTCATTTTGAAGGGTTACTGGAATTGACGCAATGGTTTACAACCAGACTCTGGCGCTCTCAGAGCTCCCGGACCAGCCGCTGATCCAGATTGAAATCGCCGACGCCGTATTCGTGACAATATGGTTCATCTCCAGCGTGGTATTTTCCATCACCCTCGACCTTCTCGTTAGCAGCAAGCGCCAGAATCCGACATGGCCGGAATTTAAGACGATCCGAACGGGAACCTGGATTCTCGCACTGTACGTCCATGCCTTCCATCCCTATGTCATCGGAATAAAGTTGACAATCATGCAGATGGTATCTACTTATGGTCGTTGACCGGTGGATGTGCTTTGACAAGGTGGCCGTCAAGTACAGCTATGTCGTCTTTCTCCCAATTCGTGAGGTGCCACGGGTGGCATCGACTGTGCTGCTGCTATGGGGCACGTACCTCGTGGTGTGGAAAGAACTCGAAGACAAATTCAGCAGGCCTTTCCAGAAGGCCATGTGGTTTGCTGCCAAGTGTGGGATCTTCATCATGTCCCTGCTGTCAATATTCTACGTCGTCCTGGATCTCGCTCTGTCCATCACCTGGCTCGATTTTGTCAACGTCACCGTCATCAATGGCATTGCTTCTAAGCGGACGTCCTTTGAGGTGGCCATGAACGCCTTCTACATGCTCTTCAGCCTTTTGACACTAGCCGAAGCCGTGTATGCGCTCACCCTTCAAACGGTGAGGGTACATGGGACAGCTCAACGGGTGAGTAAAGTTCTCGATGACTAGAAACAAATGCTAATTGTAATTTGGATAGACAAGGGTCTTCCTCTTGGTCGCTGCAACCTTGATATTCTTGAAGTCACTCATTGCCTTTGGCATAGTTGCTGATGTTGCCAATAAGCCTGAACCGACACGACGCGATATGAGACTCAGAGCCGACGTCGCCGATGGTCTTGTCGCCTTCTTCTACCTCGCAGTCATGTGTTGGATGGCTCGAATGGCGGCGTCCCCATTCGACCCCCAGGGTGGCGATGCTAGACTCGTGGCGTCCGACGTTCGGCGTTATGTCTTGCGGCTGCTCGAAGAGCGGACAAACGGGGCTCGGACGGGTGCTCCCCCTTTTGAGAAGATCTTGAGGGAGGTGGAAGAGAAGATTGACGACTTGCTGGCGGAAGGGCCCTTCAGCCAGCACCTCGACGTCGATGCCCCGTACAAGCGAAACGTGGTTCTCGGCTGCGTCGAACAGATGAGAAGCGAGTTTGGCGGTTATGGAGGGAACGCCGAATTCACGCCTCGTCGTCCATCGCCTTTTGACTTCACCACCCAGTTCAGCTTGGGCCGCAAGGGCGGAAAGTCTCAACTTGCCGCCTCGAGCGTTACTTTGGTTGACACCTCATCCAGGGCGCCCCCAGGGAACACGGGAACCAGGGCAGCGGGGAGGTCGCCGTCTGCGAATACCAATGCCGTTCCACCTCGAGCCAGCACCCATCGCGAGAGTAGGGCATCAACCACGCGGGAGTTTCCAATCCCCCAATATCATCCACCGCCGTCGACGACCCCGGATACACGCTCTCCACTCCGGCAACTTTCGCCGCCAAGACAGCAACCAAGCTCAGACGGACCACGCACTCGCCGCTTTACTCCATATAGACCCACCAGACCGCTGCCCTCCTTTGGGACGGATTTCCGGTCAGCAGAAGCCTCGACATCGACGACTCCATCTGCGAATGCAAGTTCTTCGCAGACTAGATCGAGCTCAGGATTTGCATCACCTGGGTTTACATCGCCAGCATCACAGCAGTACGAGCCCAGTGCAAGTCCTAGCTATCCGCCACCGCAGACAACGGATACATTTTCGATTGGGGGGTACAACCTCCCTGTGGCTCGACGTGTGGCGCTGCCTTTGGATGAGGATGATGCAGTTTAGATTGGTAGATTTACCCGAGGAGAGTCATTCAACTTCGAGCTGATGAAGATTTCGTTAAAAGTGAACAGTCTAAGTCAAATATACACTGCTATCTAGGTTGGGTTTTAGGGAAGGATCTTCCCCTGATAATCTTGATGCTGGATCTTATCGTGGGTTATCTGAGCTGTCGCCAATGTGAAGTTTATTGTTATACCGACAACAAGAGTGTCCATGTTTCATGTATGCAGTGGTCAATGTCATAAATCCATGCCGAGTTCCCTGCCCTGCGAGGTCAGGAATAGGGGCAGCAGCCTAGCATCACGCCATGCCCTTGAGTTTCTGGTAATGTAAGCTTGAATGGGAAAGGGGGTTCCAGAACAAACCTTGCATTACGTACCATCGAAGACACAAACAGGAACCAAACGCATGTGCCCGCAACTCCAACACCTTCCCGCCACACTCTGATATAACCACTTTATCCGCAAACAAACAACAACCAACGCCCGGGTAGCGCAATGGTCAGAGCGTCAGACTTTTACGTTCTCTCAGAGGTAAATTCATCTGAATGTTGTGGGTTCGAGTCCCACTTCGGGCGTTGACGATAAGGAATCGTTTCCACTGTCTCTTTTTGCTGCCGGGGTTGATGAAGGGGTATCCTGGTTTGCTGCTTTAGATCCACATCTCATCCACGCATCGACCCGAGTCCGAGAGGACGGGTTTCCGACAAACGGTAGTGGTTATTGGCGGGTCTGGCGAAGACAACTTGGACAACAACGTATCGGTGTGAATCCACCAGAAGCTGTATCTCGGGCACGGCACGCTTCAGGTGTAGGGGTATAAGTTTGGGAGGTGGGTGGACATGACGTTTCTGCAGTTGTCGCTCAATGGGGATCCGCTTGCTCCTGTTGATCCGAGTCGGTGCTTGAGATTATGTTCCAGTGGCGTGGAAACCCTGTGTCTCCTTGACTAGCAGTTATGACAGTGGACGAGGGCCAGGAGTTGTCGAAGGGAACGTAAAAAAGGGGGTGACCCCTGCCCTTGTTGGCGGGGCAGCGATCAAAGCCAAAGCTCCACTGCAATCTCATTGATGCCACCCCTTCACCATCGTTGCGGGCACTTTTGTTCCCAGCCCTGTTTCCCAACCGGGTTTGGAGCACCGAGCAAACAAAGTGAAACCCAACAGCGACGCCATTGTCAAGATCGAAATGGAAGCGCGGGCTGATGCCGAGGCAGCGGCAATGGTCAGCCGAAGAGCTGAGGCTGAAGGACTACGACGAGGAGAAGCAAGCGTGTTTAGTCGAGGGGGAATTTGAGGCAGAAGATTGGGGATGCGACAGTTGAAGCATGGCACCTGCAAATGTAGGAGCACCATTACAATTTCCTAGTGACAAGCAGGGATGTGGAATATGACATGTTAAGGTTGTCTTTAGTATCATTCTAATCACATTATTCTAACCACCGGCTTCGGCAACAATCACCAACTGTATGCGGTTATGACAACCAGCGAAGCAGAGCACGGAAATGACAGTGCATCTGCGAATCGACTTCTGACTCAAGCGTTGACATCTCGAGTGCTAATGATATCCTATTCTCACAGTCTAGCATCTACCAAAGAACTGCGCTCCAAATCCCCGTCGTCCGTCCGTGATACAAAACGACACCATCATCAAACAACTTCATGTATTCCTTGTCCGTGTACTTGCGGTCCACTCCCGGTAATGCCGAGAGAGGTATTTCCCATTCCTTGTGGGCGGTCAAAGCTTCGTTTCGTAAGTCAACCGCCTCTTGCCGACGGTTTAATGCACCAAGCACTAGGGAAAGTCGGAATTTCGCGCGGGCTAGGTCCTCTGCACGCCATTGAAGGTCGATGCGGCTGTTGTTGATGACCTCGCGGAGGATCCCCCTGCAGAACCGATGTTTGTTAGGGACGTGGTGTACTAGGTAGGGAGATGCGAAGAGTAGAACACTCACTCGGCAATTACCAAGTCACCCAAATTATGATAGCATACGGCCATCATGTATTGACACGACAGAGTATCATGCCCGCTTCTCCCGTCCGTGCGAATCCGAACCTCCGACAGATCCTCATAGAGTGTGGCCGCTTGTTGAAGGTCGCCGATAGTGAAAGCAATCATGGCTTCGGAGTTCTTCGCCTGCACATACCATGGGCTATCCGTTCCCAGGGCCGCCTCCATCCTGCCGAGTGAATCGTTGATGAGGGCAACAGCTCGATTGCCGGGGCCTCTCGTCGCCTCGATCAAACCTTGGAAGGAGATGACGTTTGCGATTTGGGCCTTGACCGAGTGTTGGTCTCCCACAAGACGGTAATAATACAAAGCCTTGCCGAGTGCTTCATCCGCCTCCTCCATCCAGTCGAAATGGATGGCCTTGACTCCGCGTTCGTGCCATGCTCTGCCGTATTGCATCTTTTCGAGCTGAGTCCAATTATCGAGGGGCCTCAGGCTTTCGCCAAGCCTAAGGTGTTTCTCCAACATGCTGAACGCATCAGACATGAGACGATACGATCGGCGCCGACCTTCGATTCCTAGCCATTCGCTGAAATTGCCGAGAGAGGAGATGCAGTCCAACAAAACGAAGAACACGCTTTCGTAATCCTTTTCGACGAGAACCATGCCGATGACCATTCCGGTCTCTGCAAGTGGAGCGCCGTCCATGTTGTATCCATCATCCACGCAGAAGAGAGCGGCATCTCGTAGTATTGTGAGGAAGTTAAAGTCTGCTTCGAGCTTGGGCCGGGACTTGACAAACGCGGCGTGTGTGGCGATGACCTGGGATATGTATTTCTTGTAACGAGGAAGATTGTCGCGGTTGTCTCTTTTTACGATGTCCGGAACGGGGAAGGCTCTCCGCGTCATGGCAACGACGTCTCGAAATACAAAGTTCCGATGCTTCGGATCTTGGTGTAGAAGGTGTAGTGTTCGCAGTTGAGAGACTCGAGGGATTCTGAGCTTGGGTCCGGAAGCTGTGATAACCCGGTCGACGGCGCGACGCTCCTGAAGAATCACAAGTGCTTCGTTGAACCTGCGTGCAACCATCGTGTCAGAAACCTTCGGTTGGATACCAATCGCCGACTCTTACCTATGGGCATCCCAATATTGCCATCCGGAAGCAGTCGGGCCTTCGATGCCCCCAATGAACATGTCTTCTGGTATCCCGTCTGGGTCCAAGAACGACATCATCTCCACGAGAATCCTCGAGTCCGCTACCGCCTTGTGAGATCCGTCACCCTTGCTAGTCGGTGGAGTTTCGGGGAGCGGAACATCGCTGGGTGGTGAGCGCCGGTCGTCGCCCTCAGGCTGGGTAGGACCAGGCTTCTTCGGGGCGTCCATCGTAAATCTGAAAGGCTGTTTGACAAGATAAAAAGATAGGCGGAAAATGCAGAATTGGTAGCGTGGAACCTTGGGGAGAGGGATTGCTACATCTGGAATACAGCAGAAGACAATGGGATGCCGTGATCGGTGACGAAATAGAGAGAAACAAATGACGCCGCATCGCATGCCAGGCGTGCCCCAGATGGGCACATGCTCAGTGGTGGTGGTGGACGGAGGAAGGAGCACGGCGGTGAGGAACATCAAAAAACAGAGCAGCCACTGACACAGATTAATGGCGCACTGGCTGAGCGATGAATGGGGGGTGGGGGCACGGGTCACCCCTTCCAATTTGCGTTTTTGTTCGAGTGGATGGACGCGGCACCCAGCCAACCGACATCTAGGTACAACCAGCAACACGATGAGAGATTTCAACACCAATCAGGCGGACCTCCTCCTCCTCAATACCGTCCTGAATGCTGCGGCAAACCCACACACATGCCGCTGTCAAAGTGGTGCAGCCAACCTACCTGTTCTTAGGGGAAGTACACCTTGATCGACGCATTTTCCGCCACTACATCACCGAGACACGCCCTGAGCAACTCAGTCACGACCTCAGTCATGACCTTCGTACGGTCTCCGTGATCAAGCACCGCGCTCGAATCGCCAAGATCCTTACGGACGTACATGCAAACCCCACCACAGTTGTTTTCGAGATCTTTGTCACGCGGCAGTTCAATGTCGAGGTACTCTTCCGCCATCATTTCCGTACGGCGAGTTGAGCGTCTGCAGGTTGCCAGTGATCAGTGACAAGAAGAGTTGGGAGAGTTGGATCGGCAGACTTGCTCAATCTCGAGCTGGGCTGAATTCTAGGCTGAGCAAAGTCGCGATTTTGCCGTAAGTTGCCAGAAGCGTAGCTGAATCCTCGGCCGTGCACCAAAATACGTATCGGAACCGTTTTCGATACCTGTACGTAAACCCCAGCGCAAGTTGTGTCTTCCCAACACCGCCGATCCCCTAGATGACACAGGACCGCTGTACGCTCCCAGCGTCTTCGAGCATAGATAGAAGTGACTCGAGTTCCGGGTCACGACCGAGAAACATGGAATTTCGTGGAAACGGGACGGAATGGGCTTCATTCGGTGACTTGATGGAAGCAACAAACGGCAACGCAGACTCAACAGCTCGTCTGTGCTCCTCCTGAACCAAATCATGAGCCAGTCTCGCCTCGAGCTCGAACTCGACCTTGCCTTCTTCGATTTTCTGTGTCGCTTGATTGAAATTGGATACAACGTTGCTCACCACCAAAATAAATGGCCGGTCCCAAAACACCAGCCCAGTTAGCGAGTGGTGGCAGGGCCATGTTGTCTGTGGAGGGCAAGGGACATATAGAATGGCTTTTTTCGAAAGAACCGAATGGCATTGATGCAAGCATCTGCAAACGTTTCTAAAATGCGAAGAAGTGCTGTCTCCAGCCCCCCGCTCTTGGGGTAGAGCGCCATGTACTGCTCAAATCGAGGCATCGCCGTCGTGAGACTCTGTAGCATGCCGATTTTCTTGTTGACAGTCTTGTTCGTCTGCGCGCAGCATTGCAGAATCACTACCATCCCCCCCCAATGCCTGGGACGCGACTGGGGGTAAGTTTGGGCATCGAGGAGCCGGAGCCTGGCATACTGATGAGCAGGCAGGTATCTGAGACGTACCAAGGCAGAGTAGGTAGGGTCTGACTGAATGAAGATTGAGATGGCCGCGGTCAAGTTTTGGACGCGGTCAACGATCGGATCCAACTTTTGGAGGATTTTCGAGCCGAGTCTTGAGCCATCTTTGGCGTGCAGTCCCTGCAGGGAGGTCTGCATCGCGGTAAAACTGTGGATATCCAAAACGTCTTGCGCCTTCGCTGCAGCCAATTGCTCGCGCTTGCTGGCAAGCATCTCTGCCCAGAGCACTTGCGAGCGGCCGAGGGTGCCCTGAGTGGGAGCCCCCTGAGTGGCTGGACCACGAGCTCCAGCGTCTTCTGTCGTCATATCGGGCGGGCGTCATTGGCCGTTGTGTTCGTTGGCATCCATCATCAGTGGCTCTGCATCCGCTCCCTGCCGATTTCCTGCTTGAATTCTAGAGCCCCCTCCTCTGCTTCACTCGTCGGTAACCCAGCCCTGTCTCGGTAACCAGTTTCGCCGATCAGAGTCGAAAACAATGCACACAGGGATACCAAGTCGCAGCATGGTGGGTGCTAACGAATCGTTGCTGCTGTGGACGACGCATCCTC